CGAGCATGCGCCTCGTGGCTGACCGCTGAGTCAAACTGTTCTACGATGAGTTCCAATTTGGTAACGGTTCACAATCAAGAAAAAAATGTCTACATTCAACACCGTCACAGCGGAGAGAGATCTTGGATTGGACTTAACGACCAAAGTGTGGAGGGCTCCTTTGTGTGGACAAACAAAGAAATAAATAGTTTTAGGTTCTGGGCCCCACAGCAACCGAATGACTGGAAAAACGAAGACTGTGTTCACACCCTTGGCGCCAAGCATGGTTACAATTGGAATGATGTGCAATGTACTAACTGCCATAACTACACCTGTTTTAAAGGTACAAAGCATAGAAATTTCTTTATCTATGTTATTCCTTATGAGCCATATAGCGCTTCTAGACATTTTTAAAACTGCGTTTAACAAGGTCGTAGCACATACAGGATGTCATCGATCGAAACAGATTGCTTGGAAAAGTAACAACACCGATCAGACTAAGTGAAGTTAAGTGTACGTCGGTGTTGGAAACATTGGGGATTACTACTTACATTTGCCAAAAAAAGTCCACATACCGAAAAATGGCGGCGAGAGCCTGAAATTGGTATCACAAATTGATTTAAAGAAATATTGGGAGTCGATTTACATTCCACCACTTTGTCCGGGAAAACGTTCCGTTCCGTTGCCGTTCAGCGGATATTTTTCACTGGAACGACGAGAAAAGTCGTACTGATTTCTATTTCCTTTTCAAGACACTATTTTGCAAATAGTTAACGAACATGAGTTCAGGGCTAACTTACGAACCTTTTACGCACTTTCCGTCATTCACACATTTTATTTTACCTTGCTTGTGCACGTTAATTACCCAACTACACTACAGTATATAGAGTACATACTTTTTAAACAAGCTTCATTAACTCATCTCCAGTAAGGGATCACTAAATATTCGTTATTTTGGGTGGGCACTAAGAGAGGATCGACGGTAATAATTGAAGAAGACAAGCTCAACACTGTCATGTCGTTAGTACATGTCGTGTTTGGTAAAAAGCCTGCAACCAGATTTTGTAAAAAAGAAACAGATAAATACACGGCCTTATCGACAAGATGTCTATCAGATGGATATAATACTAGTGATTCTAACGCTCTGTGCTAATTACTCGTTCTCATGCAGATATCTACGAGTGTTCTATTTGTGAGTCAGGCGTGAGAAATTGTCTTTGACCAACTCTCATAGCCCTGACGTCAATGCGTTGTGTAGCAATACGGCTGGATCGTACGCATGCGCGTGTAAAGCAGGATTTACAGGCGATGGCAAAACATGCTCCGGTAAGCTGCTGTGGCAATGTGAAAAATTTCTTTCAAAACGATTTAAATGTGATTCTATGCCCCTCTATTTGCTATATTCGCTCAGTACAAGAAAAAATGTCAAGAAAAAAGAAAAAGAAAAAGAAACAAAAATGGACATGACATAAATGATATAAAGTTTCAATTCAAGTAAAACAAAACAAAACAAGCTTAAAAGAAGTTGCAGAAAACAACCAAATATAAATAAGTATGATGGCCTCAGCCGGGGTCAATTTTAACGAAAAATATTTAATGGTATTGCAACTGAGCTAATAGAGGCACTTTCCCCGTATTATATGTTATGAAAATCGATTTGGCTCGTTATGCATTTAAGCAAGGAATACTCCCTGTTTTATTAATTCCATACTATGTCTCACTCTTAATATTTTGCTACAAGGCGTTTGTAGTTGAGTGGGATTAATAACACAGCGTTATCCAGAATATATGACCTTACTGATCACAGGATCCGGTGCATGACTTACGAGAAGGTTTCGATCCTCTGTTTTTTTTTTTTTTTTTCCGTAGATATCGACGAGAGCTCTACCAACACTCACAGTTGCACTGCACCTGCACTGGTGAGCCGTTTAAGTCTAATGTAAAACGTTTGTTTGATATGTTTGTTCTTATTTGTACTCTTCTTGCCCTTCCAATAAAGTTTTTGGTTAGATGGGAAAAAAATTGCAGTAAAATAACCGCTTGGAGTAAGCGAACAGACAAGCAATTAATAAAAATAAAATACAG